GTACAGCCCACCGCTAAAGTAATGTAGGGTTTTACCAATCTCAACGGTTGGCTTTGACTGGCGATTGTTTAATGCGGAGTGATCGAAAAGAAGATGTCAATAGCTAAAGTTGCAGCTGCAAGGGTGACGATACATATAAGCTACATTCAAAGTTTCATTGTAGTCTGGCTAATCGTTCCTAAGCTTCAGAAGCAGAACATACCCATGACTGAAACCCCACATTACTTCTGCTGTGGACTGTACATACACAGGTATGCTTTATCACGGTCCCCCATGATTTTCATAATAGGAATTAGGATACGATGCTATAACTTTTTTTGTTAATTGTTCTTTAATTCTGTCAGTGTAAAGGCTATATGAAGCCCGAAGTAAATATATGCAGAGTTGTCGTTTTCTTACAAATGCAAAGAAAGCTCGAATATTGATATTACTGTTCATTGCTCTGGTAAAGATTAACAAAAAGACGTATATTGAGGCACAGAGCAGCATATTTTAATAAATCCAACCGGTTTCAAAGACCTCTCGTCTTCGTCATCAGGGATTGAAACATACAGAAAGGAGAAAGGTTACATATTTAAGCGCTGAAGAGAATAGCTATAGTCATGCTTTTTTCTGTTAGAAAACGCGTGGAGAGCGTGCTTAAAAATAAAGGTCACTAAAGGTCGTCATTCACTATTTCTTGTTGACGTCTTTCTTGAGGAGGTCAATCCATCCCTGGTAAATTGTATATTTCCCAACGTTTCTGTTCATCTTTTCTTCGGTTGAAGCTTGGATATATATCGCTTCTTTTATTTCTCTTTGCTTCCTTTTAGCCTCAAATCCAATCACTGATGTGTTCTCCCATTTTATTGTATGTCCTGTGTCGTAGCTGTGTTCTGCCGTTGCTTCCGATGTTTGTGGGTCTATGTTGCCCGAATTGAGTTTTTTAACACTTTTTTGGTGTTCTTGTTGTCTAACTTTCACATTTCTTTTGCTTTCTCCAATATATACTTTAGGACATCCGTCACATTGCATTTTGTAAATGGGTCCTGGTTTTTCTACAGCGTTGATGGTGTCTTTGGGTCTCACGAGCAGTTGTTTCAAAGTCTTGTGCGGTTTGAAGTAAGTTTTGACGTTAAATTTGGAACACACTCGACGTATTTGTTGAGAGACTCCGTCCACATAAGGAATAACCATGACCGGGGATCGTTGCTGTGGTGCCGTGGCGTCTGGTGAAAGTGCAGCATCATCCTGTATTTGTTGTTGCGATGGTGCTGGTGCCCTTGTTGTCGATGGGGTTGTCTGGTGTTGTACTGGCTGGTGTTCTGCCTCTCGATGCTGTCTCTCGACTTTGCTGATTTCTGACTCCACGTATTTAGCTGGGTATTTGTTGTTTCGCAGGTTATTTCTGATATGGTCAAGTTCCCTTTTCCGTGTTTCTACACTGCCGCAGATGTTGAAGGCTCTCTGGGCCAGGGTGTGTATGACAGTCCGTTTGTGTTCCTGTGGGTGATGACTCAGGTAGTTAAGATACTGCCCGCTTGATGTCGGTTTGTAGTAGACATCTGTCTTAATCTTGCCGTCAGGGGAACGCTGGAGAGTCATGTCCAGGAACGGCAGCCTTCCGTTTTCTTCCTTTTCCACCGTAAACTTGATAGATGGATACAGTGAGTTCAGAGTTTCCAGGACATACAATAAAATGGGAGAACACATCAGTGATTGGATTTGAGGCTAAAAGGAAGCAAAGAGAAATAAAAGAAGCGATATATATCCAAGCTTCAACCGCAGAAAAGATGAACAGAAACGTTGGGAAATATACAATTTACCAGGGATGGATTGACCTCCTCAAGGAAGACGTCAACAAGAAATAGTGAATGACGACCTTTAGTGACCTTTATTTTTAAGCACGCTCTCCACGCGTTTTCTAACAGAAAAAAAGCATGACTAGGTATAGCTATTCTCTTCAGCGCTTATAGTTCGTTTTTTCTAAGTTCGACCCTCACTGTAAACGTCTCTTTGAACACAGCACGAGAATTGGTAGCTGAATTACTGAGAAAACTCGTTGGCGCACAATGATTTCGCAGACGATCAATTGTATCAAAATTCTTTCTACCTGGCTCCTTTTTCCCAGACTCCCAACTTGGTATTTGCAACCCCACAAGGATCGAGGACTTGTCAGGAAGTGTAGCTGAACTAATGGAAAATTTCAGGGCGTTTAATTTAACAGTACATCATCGGTGTTAGAAGCTTATTTTGGAAATATTAGTCCATACCTCCAATGCAAAGTGCGCTAACCAGTTTTCTCAGTAATTCAGCTACCAATTCTCGTGCTGTGTTCAAAGAGACGTTTACAGTGAGGGTCGAACTTAGAAAAAAAACGAACTATAAATATGTAACCTTTCTCCTTTCTGTATGTTTCAATCCCTGATGACGAAGACGAGAGGTCTTTGAAACCGGTTGGATTTATTAAAATATGCTGCTCTGTGCCTCAATATACGTCTTTTTGTCAAAGAAAGCTCAATTCAAATGGATAATGACTTGTACTTACTCCTTTAGCTTGCTGAACTATGGTTGCTTTCATCACCTGTGGATTCATATAGATTTCTGATGAAAATAGACTAAGAGACGTATCACAAATTGCCAACATCATTCAGTGTAAGGCTAAAAGAAAACAATTTAAACGAAAAAGGCCATTATGAATAAATGCTAGGAATAAATGCCAATAATGTAACGTCACTGTTTTGGGTGCAACATTTGAACCGATCATAGGTAGAAAATAATATGTAGTGTCACACGCCTCGTCATAAGGGCTTGGAGTTCAACAGATTGTGCTTACTTAAAACGCTTTAGCTATTTTGTATCGTATCATAACAATATCCATACAATATTTTACCTATATCGATTACCAGTGGTTTCCGCATGCAATAGGATGAGCGATAAACGATAAACGATAATTATCGCTGTTAAGTAAATCGGTTATTGTTATCGTTTATCGCTAAATTTTCGCTCATCCACTTATCGCAAGTTACAAAAATATGAACGATAAACGATAAAATATAAAACGGGATGATGGAAAAATGGAAGACGATCGACAGTGTATGGCGTATGCCGCGCGACAGTATGTGTGCGCAACATGTTGCCATCTGCTATGTGTACAGATCTGTCAGACGGCCGACGGGTGGTATAAATTTGCGCGGCGGACCGGGCAGAGGTCAGTCACAGGTGGGGGGGGGGGGGGTCCACACCCGCATATCTAGGGGAGTAAACAAGTATGTAAATGAGCTTGCTCCAGAAAGTCAAACTCAGCCGATAAAAAACTACGCCAACTTGGCTCAGGTTTCCGTCTTTGTACACTTTAAGTACACTTATTTAAGCTGTATTTCTTATCGCTTTTGTTATCGCTGTTAAAAACAATTATCGTTTATCGATTTGTCGTTTATCGTTTCGTTATCGCTGTTAAAAACAATCATCGTTATCGTTTTATCGTTTTATGGCTATCGCTGTTCATTTTTTTGAAGATTTTTATCGTTTATTGTTTATCGTTATCGAAAACCTTTCTTATCGTTTTATCGTTATCGCAGGTCCGAAAATTAGTTATCGCGTAAAGCACTGTCCATTACCATTACCCATGACAAATATCTTAATGATATTGAGCGATATCTTAACTAAATACTTTCTTTCAGAATCAGGTCAGTAGCTTTCAGGTCGTTTAATTTTTCGTATCGCCTTTATTGTTATCTTGAAGCTTGAGTGTCAATATAAATTAAGACGTCTTAACAAACGTAAATAAGTCGTGCATTGAGAAATTATTCGAAATGCCTTTGATCGCATATTATGTAAGCTACGGATTTCTGAATACTAGGCATGACAAACAATTCTATCGAATAAAGTAAAATCACAGCTTGAGGGTGACACCCTCATTGCTCAATGCATATGTCCGTTCATTGGATGCAATCGTGACGTTTTTTTCTCATTCGATTTTATTCATTCGATACGTGTGGTTAGGCTACATAAAAGGGTTTGTCCAGGAAGCTGGATAACAATAACTTATTCGGATTAGCAATGGCTAACAAATTAACGATGATAAGGTATAAATGCATATAAATGAGTTTCGGTCCTCATCCTTTACTCAATGATAAGAGCTGTCGGAAAAGACGTCTTCGTAAGTACCTGAAGCTCAGGTAGATAGATATATTCGTTGATGTTTGACTATCAATAATAACTCCAGCACTGACGACAGTTTATTTGGATGACAGGGCAGGAAAAGTAGGTAGGTATGTACGATTATATCAAAAACAACAAATGCCGTTCTATTTTGACACAGCCTTAGCCCTCAGTGAGGATTCATTTCCGTTTAGCTGACTTCGCCCGAGAAAAGTGATAGGTAGTAGGTACCAGGGCTGCGGAGTCGGAGTCGGAGTCGGAGTCGGAGTCGGTCGGAGTCGACAGTTGTGACCGGAGTCGGAGTCGGAGTCGGAGTCGATTTTAGAAACCCAAGCCGGAGTCGGAGTCGGAGTCACCGAAAATCTGTCGACTCCGCAGCCCTGCTAGGTCTGCGGAGTCGGAGTCGGGAGTTGGAGTCGGTCGGAGTCGACAATTCTGCCCGGAGTCGGAGTCGGAGTCGGAGCTGGTTTTTGAAAGCCGGAGTCGGAGTCGGAGTCGGAGTCGCCGAAAATCCATCGACTCCGCAGCCCTGGTAGGTACCCAGGAGGAACTGCTGTGATTCGTAAGCTTTAGTGCGTGTGCCTCTCGTCGATAGCTGGAGGTGTCCGGGAAGCTCAATCTAGTTCGACCCACGAAAGGTAGGCATGGTTAGTAATCGTTGACACGTCCGTTCTAAGATACTGTGTGCTCCGAGAATATCGCGGTGCCTACGTCAGCTTCACGGAACGGCTGGGCAGCCCAAGTGGCGCCGTGCGCCCAAGTACTGTCGGAATCGACGACGCATTCATTCACCGTTCGCAGAACGTCGCCGCCGGCATGGGCACGCAGGGCATTCCTGACCCCTCCCCTCCCCCCAGAGGAGAGCTGCGCGGCCACCAAGGCCCGCCGCCGCCGCCGCGCCGTCGATGCCTTGACCTTAGCACGCGCGTAGCAGGGCCGAGCCAAGGCGGCCGAGCGCGGCCCCAGAGGCGGACCGACCGACCGACCGGGCTGCCACCATACGTCGAGAGCACGCGCCGCGGGCCCGGCCGACCAGTACCGAACCCGTCAGTGGCAGTGCTGCGAGCGGCGCTACTGGTCTGTCGCGCTGGCCGGAGCCCCCTCGCCGACCGCGGCTTTATCGCAAACTACTGCGCAAGTGGAGAATTGTTCAATGATAGCTGACCGGCTTTGTTATGTTAATACCGCATTCCGATCTGTGGAACGCGGCCGCTGATTGGCTGGCCCCGCGGCGTGGTGTGACGTCACCCGGGAATGGAATGCTCGTACGGTTCAAGATGGAGGGCGGTGTGCACGTCGGTGTGTGAGCGCGGTGCCCGGTGGTGAATTCAGTGCGGAAAATGCCGCGGAATCGGAACGGTGAGATGCCTCTGCCCGACGGATGGGACATGGCACGTGATGTGGACGGAAAAATCTACTTTATCGACCATACGACCAAGAAAACGACCTGGGTGGATCCGAGGGATAGGTGAGTGCTGACGGCCGGCCGCTAGGCGGCGCTGGCGCCGCGCTGTGGAATGTGGCCCCTGGGCACAGGTGCGTGGGGAGGGGAGGGGGCCCAGAGGGGGACTTTTTCTAGGGGTGTGCTCTGACCCCGTGTTATGCATAGATTTGATGCCAGAGCTATGAAAAAGCTCTGGTGAGCCCCGTAGGTCGGACCGCGGTGGATCCGTTATCCGTCGGGGCCGGACGGCCGAGCGGCCGGCCGCGTTTCGCTTCGCCACGACCAGCTGTTGCTCGTCAAATATCGTAAAACGGCTCCTGAGGAGCTGGAAATCGCTGTTTCTTTGTAACCTGACTGCAGTCTGTGCGGTACACGGCACGCTGCCACCACAGACGTTATTGCTGTCTTGGCTGGAGGCCAAATTCCAGAGAATGTGCTTGAGGGCATTCCAGGGACGCACCAGTCGCTGAGCCTTGTCCCGGGCCGCCTGGTAACTGCTAGAGGATATTTTCAGCACTGAGAAAGCCCATGTGCTTTTGGTTTAGGTTTGGCTAGCTTTTGGATCCGGCTCTCGTTGATAGAGGCTCCTGCCCTGAAATTGGTTCCCAACTTTCTCTCCAGCCTGACAGCAACATTTGCGGACACGAGATGTAAGACGCTGATAAAACCGAGCTAGAATCACCATCTGTTCTGCAAAGTCCTTTTGAAAGACACATTTTGTTCAGCCTTCCCTGGTCAGGCGCTGATGAAAAAGATTGCAGAAGCTGCCTACCCCAAATCTCTCGGTTTCCTAGTATGCCGAATGCGTGACCTTGTTCCGGATCGTGGGTTCAATTCTCGCTCGTTCCACTGTTTTAGCGTGGCAGGGACACCGCTCGGTCCAGAAAGGCAGTGTGGGATGCTGCCGGGCCAAGATTACTTTATTCCTAGCGGCTATTATGAAAAAACTTTCTCCAAATCTGAAAAGTCCTCGGATTTCTATTTCTGATGCGCTGCTTACCAACATAAAGCAAACCTTTTACATTTAAATCACACACTTTTCTTTTTATTCGAGGAAAACGCCTACTTTCAATTTTCATGTATTTCAAATGCTATGATACGTGCAAGTGTCTCGAATGCCTGAGGCTCTCAATTGTCCGAAAAGCTTAACTGTATCATGCTTGAATTGCTTGACATTTTAGTTAGGTATCTGTGAAGCACTCCTTTTTATTCATTTACCTACCTACAGAAGTTAAATGTCTGGAATCTATGACGAGGAATAAGTTGTTTTTCGTATGCACCATTCATTCATTCATTCATTCATTCATTTATTGGTTCGTCGTTCATACATTCATTCATTCATTCATTCACTCATTCATTCATTCATTTATTCATTTATCCACCCAACCATTGATTTGTACGTCCTTTTCTGCATTTATTCGTACACATAATGCATTTGCATGGGAGCGTGGCCCTGATACAGAAATGCTCATTACTGCTGCTAAAACATGCCTTCTTCCATGTGAAAAGTTATTTACCCGAAAATGAAATCATTTTCTAAATGCTTCAGACGTTGAGACATGAGGGCCAAAAAGTCATTGGCAGATCCATACCGGCGCCATCGGACGAAGCTGGTCAAACGTTTCTCGAATTTCGGAAAGCCTCTGGTTAGCCTGTAATCTTTGTTGCTGTGCAATTAAAGTGAACTTGTTTTAATAAAAATTTAAAGTTTCTCTTTTATGCGAGGAAAAGATAATTAGTCATCAATAGGTTTTGAATAAATCATGATTAAACCCCTAATTCCCTAAAAAGGAATTTTGTTCCTAATTGATGAGGTTTGACTGAAAGATTTACATGACTTGGCTGATTTCTTTTCTTTCTTCATCTAAATATGCCTACTCTTTCAGTTTCTTGAGAAGTTGCATACCTACTTCATTCATTTAAGTTAATCTTTTCACGTTATTGAGAACAAGGTCCACCTGCAAAAATGGCCAAAGTCCAGGCTGGACTTTCGAACGTTTGACCGCACGCACAAATGATGTTAAATTCGGCAGTTTGCAAACAAACGTTTTCATCCAGTCAATTTAAAAAGCTTGATTACATCTGTCATCACTAGGCTCGTTAAAGAAACCTTGAGAAATTTGGTATTCGCATTTTGCATTAAAATCAAATAAAGCCAAACTCGCCATCCGAGCTCCACTGTCAGTGCAGTACTTTTACTGCGGCCGTCAGAGTACTTTTACTGCTGCGGCGTCTCGGTCTCATCCTGCTAATGTGCGCCGTACTTGTGGATGGTAATGCATGCATGAGCCGCGTTTCGTGTACGAGTCGGATGTTGCAGCCGGCCGCGGCGAGCCAGAATTCTCGGAGCCGAGCCGATCTGCCGATCCGGCGCGGCTTGGCGTGACGGTCGAGCGGTGTGTAACCGGCCTCAGACCCAGAGCTGGCTGGCCCAGTGCAGCTTTAGCAGAGGTCCATCCGTATACAGAGAACAATATTGGGTTGAACAATATTGTGTTGAATATTGTATGGCCTAGGGCGTGGCAAGAACATTATCGATGTCTGTGCAAGGAATTGCATTGTGGTGATTCATGTTGTTATTGGTATTTTCTGTTTTCTTTTCGAAGCCGTCCGACTGCCCTTATACGCCATTGCTTTGCTGTCACGAGGGAAAGTTTCTTTTCATTAGACCAGTTGCCAAGCAGGGGTCCATGGTCCGGACCGCTTATGTCACGACATCAGGTGGCAGACTGGCTTGGACTGACCTTTGTCCCGGCACAAATCACTCCGTTTGCGTTGTGACAGACGGAGGCCGTCCGTTGCGACCTTGCTGAAGTGTCTGTTGGCGCAGCGGGGAGGGGCCGTGCAGGCTCACCCTCGGTTACCGGTGCATGAGTCAGTGTTTCGATTGGCGTATTGGCAGTACTCTCGAGATTGCGGGTCGTTTGATAGCGCGGCTGCCCAGGAATGCGGCTATATCGGCGGGAGCGGCCTATCCGCCGTATCTGACGCTGATACCGGTGATACAGAGGCCATCAGCCTAATCGGCTCTGGCAGGCCCGCTTTTTCTCCGCGGCCGCACGAACGGCAAACATTGCCGTCAGTCTGTTATCAGGGAGGGCTTCTGCCATATAAAATTGGTATATACGGCCGAATTCCTTGTTTTTGTTTCGAACGTTTGAAATAAATTAGTCAATTTACGCAGTACGGAATAAGTGTTTTCTTCTGTAATTCGGACTGTAAGGCCTGTGTCTCTGTCCAGTGTTAATTGAGTCCAGCCCGGTGGATATAGCAAGAGAATCAGTTCGATCATCGCTGAAAAAAGACATACCTTCTGCCTCTTCCTCTTCCGATATCGCAAACATCGTTCAAATACTACACATTCGTACTTTTCAACCTGGCGACAGAACATCTCCCCTCCCACTCATCTATCCGCTGCTCTGCCAAAGTCTGTTTTGCGGAGCAGTCTACTATTCAGGCGCTTACCACTGACGCCATCTATTGGCCAAAAAAGTAATTTGTAGTAACCGCCCAGTCTGCTTGTTTAGTAGCGCTATGAACAATGAACATAGATCATGCTGAGCTATAAATGCCAATGTGGTCTGGTAGCATAAAATGAGTAAATGAGTGATCTGGATAGTGAATTTATTTCAAATGGTGTAATTAAGTCACCTTCACGCTCCTATATTATAGCGTGTGCTGTCCACATTCGTGGAGCCATTTCGTTTTATTACGAGCGAGCGAGCGCAGCGAGCGAAGTGAGTCTTTTCAATATAACGGAAAAATCTCAGTATGAGCGGCCCGGCCCGGCCCGGCCCGGCCCGGCCCGGCCTGTAACGCTTTTGAGAGGCTTATATCTCAGCAACCGCTGGACCGATTGGCCTGCGGTCTTTTTTGTTGGGTAGCCCCATCCCTTCTACCCCGTAATTGACTACTTTTGATACATCTCAGTGACCGTCGTGGCACGTGCCACGTGAAAAGTCAGGGGTGTTCAAGCTGTTTTGCAAAAGTAGTGATTTTGAGAGGCTCATATCTCAGCAGCCGCTTGGGCGATTGACTTGCGGTAATTTTTGTAGGGTAGCAGCATCCCTTCTACCCAAAATAGGATACTCTCGATGTATGTGGGTCACCCCCAGTGCACGTGCAAAATACAACAATAAGAGGTGCCAAATTTGTTCCCATTTCAGTAACTCGGTAATTACTGGGGCGATTTCGCTGAAACTTGGCATACAGGTAGGCACCCACCAGGCATTGCATTCCCGTGTGTTGCGGTTAGGGTGCTACTGCACGTGCGCACGTGCAGGGGGCGTTTCCAGATCTCGAGAACGGCTGGGCCGATTGCGCTCAAATTTGGTACACGGTTGGGGACCAGTTAGTAGGGTGCCGTGCAAAAGTCATTTTGGACCCCGTTTGCACGTGCGCACGTGCAGAATGCCGCTGCCAGATCTCAGGAACGGCTGGGCCAATTGCGTTCAAATTTGGCACACCGCTAGCGACCGGTTAGAAGGGTGCTTTGCACAAGCCCGTTGGAAGCACCCTCTCGCCCTTCCGCACGTGCAGGGCTCACTATCTCGCTCGCTCGTTCTTCGCCCAAAAGGCGTTTTACTGGTTTTAACGTGACTGCCAACGTCCGCGTCGTTCACTTCCTGACGTTCATAATAATTCTTAATTTAGTAATTGTCACGAAGTTTGGTTTTTCTGTTCAGCATTGGCGCCATACCTTCGGAATTTCGTCAAAGCGTCTACGTTTTTGTTCAAGGAATATCCCTCAGTCTGCAGTTTTTGAAGTGTTTTTTCGTTTTCGCAGGCAACACTTTCCTCCCGATTTAGTGCCTGTCAATTGAGCAATTGTAGAACAATGCACCCTGCAACATTGTCAGTGTAAACTCTGGCTTTATTACACTACCCCTATACGAATACGTTGGTAGATGTCATTGTCACCTTATAGTAACGCTGTTGCCGGGCCTTTTTAACCTGGCAGTTGCTGGGGTATTTCGCCACCCACCGTTTGCTGGGGGGGGGGGGGGGCGCTAAACGCCCCCAGC